GATTTAGACACGCGAACGGGAGATGGGAAGGAAACAGAGCTCGAGTGCGTGCGTTAGGGGAGTTAGGGATTAAAGAGGAAAGGGGGAAGGGGTAAAAAGGAGTTAATATATATATATATATATATATTAGATAAAACCCGATTTACTCGCGCGCGGCGACGTAACAAAAAGGGTGTTCTCCCTGGGCAAAATCGACGTTCCGGACGCGCCGGCGCAGTCCCTTTTGTCACCCGGGGTCGCTCGGACGACGTCGTCGATAATCGGGTCAAAAAAACGCGTCAAAATTTAAACTTCACAAAATTTCGACCCGTGGTCGATCGCCTCGACAAGTTTACTCGAGACTTCGATAGGTAACGGTGCAAGCGATGCGAATTGTGGCGATCGGACGTGTCGACTCTCCGAATTGCGAAGCTTTGTGCGCGCGGGAGTGCGAATTGTGCAAAAGGCCACCCTAAGGCTTAGGAAGGTCTTATAGGGATCTCTTTTGGGTTTCCTCATGTCGGTTTCACCCTTCTAAGTACTAGAAGTCAATACCACACACGCGAAACTCCAAAAAGGGACAGAAGTGGGTCGAACTAAAATGAGGGGGGTCCCATTTCTAAGGTTCTAAGATAGTCGTCGGGAGATCCTTAAGGCTAGATCCTAAACCCTAAGAGGAAGACTAGACTCGCTAAAAATGAGGTCAACAACTTCATAATTGCAAGGTACAGGCGGCAAAGAGGTTCCACACCTATCCTTGAGCAAGATACTGATACACCACTTGCAAAAGAAAGAGAATATAACACTCCTTAAGGCAGAAAGCATAGATTATAATCTCCTAAATACTCAAAACAAGGCAAACTCCCTCAAAATAATTAAAAAAAAAACAACACATAAATAGTTTTTAATTGAAAGTAACCCAAAGTAGAAAAAAACGAAAAAGGAAATGTGTGAAAATAACAAGGATTCCTACAGAAATTTCCAACATGATGAAAATTGCCTATTCAACCTTCCTTATGATCGTGGAACCTCCCATTTCTATGGGATCACATATTTCTTTTGATCAGGAGTCATGGGATCTTTGATCCTGTGACTTTGGTGGACGCTCCCGCGTCACATATGTTCAATCAATATATTTATGTAAATATTTTTTATATGAATACACATTCAATTTAAATTTTAAACAAGTTAATATGACTGACTCGAATTAGGTTGAAAGTTGACTAAAAATTAATCATCGCTAACTTGGCTAGAGTGAAATTCAAATTGTCTGGTGTCATGTCGAGGTTGCTCGAATTCAAATCGATATAAAACATAGATTAGAATTATTTCATAGAGGAATTTGTTTTGTGGATATCATTTAAACTTCTAGAATGCCAATGTGTAGGGTCGATTACCTTAAGTCCAAACTTGTTGATTTAAAAGTTATGCATAGTAAGCAAAACTCAAACTTGACTCAGGTAAAATCTTGTTCATATCTTTTTTATTTATCGAGCATTGAGCCAAAGTTGAGATTTAATTCAGCCCAAGTAAATGTAGAAATTAATCAAGCTCTAAACCAACGTGGCTAAATTACTGCAAATATAGGCCTTCCTTTTTTACGCATTGCGAGTGTAAGCTTCTTCACATGTTTACAAAAATACCCATGGCATGCATACACTTATGTATTTGTGTATCTATGAATGTTTAGTGTTTGAGTGTTGTTTGCCTGTATCCAGCGGTGCATGTACTTGAAATAACTCTTCTAATGTGCATGTTTGATGTGTTAACACTTCAACTTATGACACATTTATGCTATTTCTTTTGTTTCTCATGGATTTTACCAAAACGAAGTGATCAATCTTAATACTGTTTCTTTTGTTTCTTCTGGATTTTACCAAAATGATATCCAGGGAAGTGGGTTTCACAAGAAGTAGCATTTCCCTCTTCTAGGCTTCCAAAAGCCGATACATCATCATCAAAATCTTCACTTGTAGACGGAAGTACTGCTAAGCCAAAAGGAGACAAGGCACCAGGTTTGGTTGTTTCATCATCGCTAAATCCCATGAGATCTGTTAAAGGTGCCCCCTCTTCAGTCTCTGTTAACAAGAGGAAAAGGGAGGGTGAAAAAACAAAATCTGTTTCTAAGGAGGAAGCTGAAGCTCTGAAAGCAAGAGAAGCTGCAAGGAAAAGAGTGGATGAAAGAGAGAAACCAATGCTTGGTCTTTACAGATCATACTGATAATGTCGAGAGTAAGTTTAATTGAATAACTATTTTTCTACGTTGTTATTAAAATCATTGGGAAAGGAAGTGTAAAGAGCGGGTGTAGTGTAGAACTTTCTTTTGGCTGATTACTCTCCCATGTCATTAGCTGCATCTTTGTTTGACTTCGCTTGTTCAGTTCAATAATCTATCTGCCCAAATTTATGGATTTTAGTTATCTGCCATCTAATTAGTAAATTTGAGCATTATAGACTCGTTTCAGTTTTTTGTTCTATGAATTCTGACAGTTATTATGTTGGTTTTGTAGAGTTCCGGAGTGGTTGGATGTGAGGGGGATGAGTGTTATGCGCCAATTTAGGAAAGGGGGAAAAGGGAGTGAGGACTCGTCAATAATAGAAAAGGGGGATAGAGAGAAATGATTTCAAGGAATTTAGTGAATACGGTAAGGTAAGAGGATGTAAGAGGGAAGAGGGACTGTTTGAGGGTAGAATGATAAGTGGAATCTGAAAGCAGGGAAAAAAGGGCAGGGAAGGGGAGATCATCACAGATCTTGTGATGCTCAAGATGATGAAATCAAGGTTGTTATATGGATTGAGGAAGTATGTGCATTAGTGGCAATGCAATCTTCTTTACTAAGGGCCCGTTTGGGGCAGCTTAAAAGTGCGGGCGGCGTTTTGAAAACGCCGCCTTGGTGTTTGGTTAGCACTTATTGACAACTTATACAAAACTGTGTTTTCGATTTTATAAAAGACGCAGACCGCGGGGGTCTTCCCGCAGTCCGCGTTTTCGATCTCATTTTGACTCCCGTGACCCTGCCCTCATACGTTTCCCATGACCCTCCCCTCCCTCGCATCTGCCGTTAATCCTTCGCAAGACTCGAGCCCTAAGCGGTCCTAGGAGAAGATCCGGTGTGTTCCCGACCCTCATACGATTCCCGTGACCCTCCCCTCCCTCGCATCTGCCATTACTTCTTCGCAAGACTCGAGCCCTAAGCGGTCCTAGGAGAAGATCCGGTGTGTTTTGCCTTGTCTTCTCCAACATCTTCACTTCTCCATCTCCTTCGGCATTTCTCTCAACAGGTAACTGTTTCTTCTTCGCATGTTTCATCTTCCACATCGTCCTTTGCCGTGGTTCGAGAAATTGGTTTAAGCTTTTGTTTTTCTCGCAACAGGTGGATCCCGTGTGCTTGTCTTCACCAATTTCACGATCGAAGTCGCATTTCGCATTTCTTTCTTCACCATTTGTTTCAACAGGTATACCTATTCCTTCACATGCCTTGTCTTTCTTCTTCATTTGCAACCGTTCGTGAAATCCGTTTAGATCTTTTTTTTTTTTTCCCGGTGGATCTGTCCCGGTGGATCTGTTCGTGAAATGGATCTGTTCGTGAAATCATGTTAGATCTATTTTTCTTTGTTTTTTTCCGCTGGATCCGTTCATGAAATCCGTTTAGTTCTTTTTTTTTTTGGTAGATGTGTTCATTTGAAGATAAAAAATGTGATTGATGATGTTTTTTTTTTTGTTTCGTGGTTATGAAAAATGATGTTTTTCTTCGGTGGATCCGTTCATGAAATCCGATTTGTTCTATTTTTTTTTCTTGTAGATGTGTTCATTTGAAGATAAAAAATGTGATTGATGATGTTTTTTCTTTGTTTTGTGGTTGCGAAAAATGATGTTTGGTTAGGGAAGAATGAATGAAATCAAAATTATTATTTTCGGAACCATTATGTCCATCTATATGCAGCTATTTTTGGACAACAAGTTAGCCAAGAAACAAATCAATAGAATAATTTGAAAGATCTTCTATTGTAGTGCTACGTACTAGTGCTACGTACTAGAGTAGCTATGGGAAATAACTGCTTAGTTGTTGGTTAGATTGACATGATTTGTGTTATTTGGAGGATTTAGATACATACCACTCAATTCATATGTATTTACATCTTTAACACTGAAACTTCATTATTGGCTTTTGACATTTACGTATATACATATCTAACTGTTTATAACATATTGGATCAATTTTTGGTTGATCGTTAGAGAATATTGAAGTTTAGTTGTCCTCTTGATGAAATGAGTCCTTTAACTCTTTTCTTTTCTCTTATATAATCTTTTGTTGTCTAATTTTTTATTTTGAAATATTTAGAAGGTAGATATAAAAATTTTTCTTTTGTTTTGTGATTTCTTTGCCATGAAAAGAAACATTTTGTGTCTATCCGTTAATCTGACAGAACTCAATGAGTAAATCTAAAGAGCTGGAACATAGCCATATGGGATAGAGAAGTAACTATCATATTTTGTGATTTATGAGTGAGGGAGGTTGAGGTGGGAAATAGACCCACTACATTTTTTAACAAAGAAGGGTGGCAAAATATCTTGGTTAAATTCAAAGAAATGATTGGAAGAGATTATGATTGCATGAAAATGAAGAACAAATGTGACCAGTTAAAGAAGGATTGGAAATTATGGAAAGACTGAAAAGATGATTAACGGGAATGGGTTGGGATCCAGTTAAGCGCACAATAGATGCACCAGAGGAATGGTGGGCTGAGAAATTACAGGTACATAAATAACTCTTTTTATTTTATGTTTAATCTAATTTCGCATTGAGTTTACACTATTTTATTAATGCATATTTGTTATCTATATCAGGCAGTGCCGTCAGCAAAAAAATTTAAATTCGTTCGCATTGATCTAGTAATGGAGGAAAAACTAGATGGAATGTTCCGTGAGTTATTATGGGGCCATCCAACACGGTTCCATCATGATTTACACGATTTACACGGCTCTGCAAGAACAACTCCAAGGGAGGTGCTTGCAATAACTCTATACATCTGATCTCAAAATAAATCAATAAAAGGGGCTATGGAGCGTTTCCAACATTCATCTGAAACCATCAGCCGATATTTCTCATTCGGTTTGAACTCTCTTGTGAGTTTGGCTCAGAAGGTAGTGAAGCCCGAGGATCCAACGTTCTATTCAATTCCTTCACAAATTGCAAATGACCCTCGATACATGCCATTTTTTAAGGTCTGTCTTTTACCATTACATTTATCTTTCTACTTTTATTACATTACAGCTTAAAAAACTTTTTAGTTGTAACTCCAGGATTGTATTGGAACTATTGATGGGACGCACGTCGATGCACGACTATCTAGTGAAGAAAAAGTTGCGTTCATCGGCCGATGCGGCACCCCAACACAAAATGTCATGGCCGTATGTGATTTCAATATGTGTTTTACTTTTTTCATGGCTGGATGGGAAGGAATCGCTCACGATAGTCGTGTTTTCAAGTTCGCTACCAGAAACTTGAGACATGGATTTCCGTACCCACCTCTGGGTAAATACTATTTGGTTAATGCTGAATATCCATTACAAATGGGATATCTAAAGCCCTATCCAGATACGAAGTACCACATTTCTGATTTTGATAGATCTAGTGGTGTCGCACGAGGCAAAAAAAAGATTTTTAACAAAAGACACCTCTCATTGCGCGGCGTAATTAATGACATCATTGAAAGAGCGTTCAGAGTGTGGAAGAAGTTGGTCATATTACAGGATATGTCGTCTTACCCTTTTCCAAAGCAAGTACAAATAGTTGTTGGCACAATGACGTTACACAATTTCATCTGACGCCACCCTTCCAGATCGGATACGGAGTTTGCCATTTTAGAAGATGATTCAGTGCAAATCCCACCTGAAACATTTGAATATCAAGTGGGACGTTCAATACATGAAGAGTTTTGTTCAGAAGATGCATGCACTCGAGAGGGTTAAGGTGCATTAGAGATGACGACTTTACGAGAACAAATAGCAGATGATATCAGCCGGTCATGATATCCCCTTTGGCATAAAATACATGTCTTTTTTTGAAGGCCTATTGTTTGTAGAGCTTACCTGTCATGAGCTTTGAAGGCATATTGTTACTATGAGATATGTTAATTGTTTGGGAGTATGATACTAGCAACTAAAGACATTCTGCAGTTACTATGATGTTCGTAGGATCTATTCTGATTATGTTGGCATATTTTAAACCTTTTTTTTAAATCAGGTAAAAAATTTGTGAAATCTTTTGCACCTTCCTCTTATACGTTACATGGTTTTTGCTTCACAACTCATCGAGCTTGATCTCACTAATCAAATTATATTGAATTTCACTTTGTTTTCTCATTTCCTGATGAACAATATTTAGCATCTGCATCGTCTTCTTTTGCTGCTTCTTTAGGCCATATAAAATCCTTCTAATCCAGATTTATATACTGGCAAATTTCTATGGGATATTTGGGGCATATAATGTCAAAATTTTTTTTATTAAATCCTACTTGCAACTGCGACAACCTTTACCTTGTCATAGCAATTCTTCACGATTTTGGGGCATATAATGTCAAACTTTTTGCTGGCAGTTTTCAGATTTAAGTGGTATGTATGTAAATAGCAATTCACATACCTTGTCAAAATTTTTGTAGGAATTTTGGGGCATATAATGTCAAATTTTTTGCAGTCAGTTTTCAGATTTAAGTGGTATGTATGTAAATAGCAATTCACATACAATTTGACCTTTACCTGTGTCATAGCCATTCACATACCTTGTTAGTTCACATACCAAATCATTAAGAATTAAGTGGTATGTATAAGTGGTACATTAAGAATTAAGTGGTATGTATGTAAATGCCCCTAAAACTTACCTACATGCTCTACATGATCATTCATCCTGATTACGTGAAGGATTTAAAAACAACAGGGGTGAAAGTTAAAGTTCTACTTTACAGGAAAGATGATAACTACTCCATGTCTTAAACAACACAGGGACATTCACAATTTTACCTACATACCACCTAATTACCATGTATTTACATATCTAACACCTAAACTATATAATTTACATTTATACATAAAAATAGGTAGAAGTATTTTACAATCACATAGAATAATTAAAATAAAAGAGAATTTAGCTCAATGCATTTTCTTTGGAATGGATGTGGTTATTTTTTTGGATATGGAAGCATCTAAATTTGTAACCAATCTATATGTAGCTTGGATAGCCCCATGCTATGTATGTAGCTTGGATGACAACCACTACTATGGTATGATCAATTATTTG